GAGACTCTCTTGAGCCCAGGAGTTGGAGGTTGCTGTGAGCTGTGATGCCATAGCACTCTACCCAGGGGGAAAGCTTGAGGGTCCGTCTCAAAAAAAAATATATATATAGTTTTATTATAAAATGAAAAGTAACCCTATCTCTTAGTGCCTCAAACAAAGGAGGAAAGTGAAGGGCAGGAAAAGAGTACCTTTCCCCAGCATTTCTCCCCACATGAGATAATAAAAGGAGTCAGGGGACACCTCCCCACTTCAAAGTAGTTTCTCATTCATGCATACAGAACTAAACTAGGCTACTTTATCTCTTAGATAGAGGCAAGCAGCAGAAGCACAGAGAGGAGCACAGAAAAAAGCACTGTGTAGTTCCAGAGAAAGAAAGAAGTAGGAAGACAAATTGGAGGCAAAGGAAGAGAAGCTGTCCTTGATTTCTGATAGTTTCAAGTACTCTCTGTCCTTGTGCATCACAACATCCTGCATCACAACAGTACACAGCATTACTCTGATATCAAAACCAGAGAAAGATGAAAATTTCAAGAAAACTATAGATAATATCCCTCATGAACACAGATATAAAAATTAATAACATTTTAGCAAATTAAATCAATCAAAAGAATAATCCCAGCAGGGCGTGGTGGCTCACACCTATAATCCAAACACTCTGGGAGGCTGAGGCAGGCAAATTGCTTGAGCTCAGGAGTTCAAGACTAGCCTAAGAAAGAGTGAGATCCCATTTCTACTAAAAATAGAAAAACTAGCTGGGTATAGTGGCTCATGCCTCCCAGCTACTCGGGAGGCTGACGTAAGAGAATCGCTCAAGCCCAAGAGCATAAAGTTGCTGTCAGCTATGATGCCATGGCACTCTACTAAAGGTGACAAAGTAAGACTCTGTCTCAAAAAAACAAAAAATGAAAAAGAATAAACCCTCAATACCTTACCACATATAAAAAATTAATTTAAAACAGCCCCCAGACGTATATATGAAACCTAACATTTTGAAACTCTTAGAAGAAAACATAGAAGAAAATCTTTGTGATCTTGGATTAAGATTTCTTAGATAAGCCACTGAATGAATGATACATATAAGACAAACTGAGCTGGGCATTATGGCTGGTGCATGTAGTCCCAGCTACTCGGGAGGCTAAGGCAGGAAGATTGCTTAAGCCCACAGCCTGAAGTTGCTCTGAGCTGGGCTGACAACACTGCATTCTATCCTGGGTAACAGAGTTACTCTGTCTCAAAAAAAAAAAAAGAAAACACAAAAGAAGTTTATGAAAATATGTTCAACATATTTTTTAATTTAATTTTGTGAACACCAAATCCACTGGATGTCATTTTTAATTAAAGAAATTTAAAATTGGCTTGGCATCTGTAGCTCAGTGGTTAGGGCGCCAGCCATATACACCAGGGCTAGTGGGTTTGAACCCAGCCTGGGTCTGCTAAACAAATGAACAACAACAACAATAAAAAAAAAAAAAAGCCAGGCATTGTGGTGGGTGCCTGTAGTCCTAGCTACTAGGGAGGATGAGGCAAGAGAGTTGCTTGAGCCCAAGAGTTTGAGATTGCTGTGCGCTATGACACCACCACACTCTACAGAGGGCAACAAAGTCAGACTGTCTCAATTAAAAAAAATTTTTTTTAATTAAATTTAAATTGAATTTTTCTAGAGAAATTAATTTCATTAGAGAAAAAAAAATTTTTTTGAGACAGAGTCTCAAGCTGTTGCCCTCTGTAGAGTGCCATAGTGTCACAACTCACAGTAACTTCAAACTCTTGAGTTTAAGTGATTCTCTTGCCTCAGCCTCCTAAGTAGCTGGGACTACAAGTGCCTGCCACAATACCCATCTATTTTTTGTTGTTGCTGTTGAAGTTGTCATTGTTTTAGCTGGCCCAGGTTGGATTTGAATCCACCAGCCTTGGTATATGTGGTCAGTGCCCTACCTACTGAGCTATGTATACCACCCTCATTAGAGAAATTTAAATTAAAACTATAATGGGATATTTCAAACCTATGAGAATGTCCACAATTTAAAAGACTGACTCGGTGCCCAAGGCTCAGTGGTTAGGGCACTGGCTACATACATCGAGGCAGGTGGGTTCGAATCCAGCCCAGGCCTGTTAAACAACAATGACAACTGCAACAAAAAAATAGCTAAGTACTGTGGCGGGCGCCTGTAGTCCTGGCTACTTGGGAGGCAAGAGCATCACTTAAGCCCACGAGTTTGAGGTTGCTGTGAGCTGTGATGTCATAGCACTCTACCAAGGGTGACATAGTGAGACTCTGTTTAAAAAAAAAAAAGACTGACTATACCAAGTGTTGGTAAGAATGGAGAGGAAACAGAGCTCTCATAGAGTACTGTTGGGACTGTAAAAATATAATTTCTTTGAAAAACATGAAGTTTCTTACCACGTAATAGTTGCATTCAATGGGGGGAGGGTTCAGGGACAGTTTGTTTTCACATAATCACTGACCCTCATAATGATTTGCAACTTTAAATATACACATATCATAGGACAAACCATTCTATACAAACATATTTACCAAAAGAAAATGAAGCATATGTTGACACACAAATGTACACACAAATGTTTATAACAGGTTTATTTGTAATAGCCAGAAAATGGAAACAACTCAAATGTCAACCATCAACAAGTAACCAGATAACACAAATTGTGATATATTCATACAATGGAAAGCAACCCAGCAATATAAATGAATAATATACACAACATGAATGAATCTCAAAGTAAGTCTGCGGAATGAAATCTATAATAATGGGAAGCAAATTAGTGACTGCCTAGGGAAGGAGAAGATGAGTGCAAAGGAATGAGAAAGAGTAAAGTAAGGCATGAGGAAACTTCTGGGTGATGAACTTGTTCATTATCTTAAATATAATGATGGTTTTGGGAATGCACACATATGTCACAACTCACCAAATTGGGCCAGACAAGGTCACTCACACCTATGAGGATCCCTTGAGTTCAAGAGTTCAAGACCAGCTTGAGCAAGAGCAAGACCCTGTCTCTACCAAAAATACAAAAAATGGCTTGGCACCCATAGCACAGTGGTTAGGACGCAGCCACATACACCAAGGCTAGTGGGTTTGAACCCAGCCCAGGCCAGCTAAACAACAATGACAAATGCAACAAAAATCAGCCAGGCATTGTGGTGGGCACCTGTAATCCTAGCTACTTGGGAGGCTAAGTCAAGAGAATCACTTAAGCCCACAAGTTTGAGGTTGCTGTGAGCTGTGATGCCATGGTACTCTACCACGCGCAACATAGTGAGAATCTGTCTCATAATAAATAAATAAATAAATAGAAAAATTAGCCAGGTGTTGTGGTGGGCACCTGTAGTCCCACCTACTCGGGAGGCTGAGGTAGGTGGATTGCGTGAGTGTAGAAATTTGAGGTTGCTGTGAGGTAAGCTGATACCATGGCATTCTAGCCCGGGGCAACAAAATGAGACTCTGTTACAAAAAAAAAAAATTATCAAATTGTACACTTCAAATATATGCAATTTATTGCTTATTACTTATAGGTAGTACCTAAATAAAACTATTAAAAATATATTTAAATACATTTTTGTGCTATTTTACACATAAAAATAATTATAAAAGAAAGCAGACAAGAGTGCTAAGAAATAAGAGTAAGACTTCAATGAATTTGTACACCTGAATAGTTAATACTTACTGCATATGTATTAGTCCAATGTTTTACCACTTCTTGGGATCGAAAATGCATGTCTCTCTTTGCCTTTCTTTCTTCACGAAGGCATGCTGCTTCTCTTGTCAGACTGTCAAGGCTATCTTGAATCCTTTCCCATTCATCATGTGGAATTATGGTGACCTGCTGGAGATCTACTTTGCTAGGCAGGAGAGGTGGGTAGGGAACTTGATCTTCTTCAGAGTTTCTCATCTCTAATAAATTTTAAATAACAATTATTAAAAATTTTCAGGAAGAGTTTAAGTAATATTTTTTCTCAGAAATTTCTATACCTAAAATTATTATCTGGAAATTGTTTCAAATATTTAACTTATTATCTCAAGAACTGCTATGATTAAATGAAAAAAATACAAGGCATTGAAATTAGAAGACACAGACTTGAGTCCTAGATTGGTTGTTTACTTACTATATAAACTTCAGCAAATCATTTAACTTCTTGGAATCTCAGAATCCTCATTTTTAAAATTGAGATCAACGATACCTATCCTAACAGATTGTTACAAAAGTATTTTTCAAAGTTAACAAAGTGATGATTTATAATGGATAACATTGGGGGTGTTCATCTTTTGGGATTGTAGGCATTGTTGAACTCAGGAATCCACATTCGAGACCAGCCTGAACAAAAGTGAAACCCCCCACTTCTACTAAAAATAGAAAAAGTAGCCAGGCATTGTGGTGGGCACTTATAGTCCCAACTACTCAGGAGGCTGAGGTAAGAGAATCACTGGAGCCCAGGAGTTTGAGGTTGCTGTGAGCTATAATGTCAGGGCACTCTACCCAGGGTGACAGAGTAAGACTCTGTCTAAAAAACAAAGAAAAGTCTTCTTGAGTTTTGGATTAAGGTTGATGGAAGTGACAAACTGGTGGCTAAAGTATGAGTTTAGAACCATAGGCACCATCTTGCCTACCATATACCAAATTTGGATGAAGTCCATATGCTGGATAAAGTCAACCAAATTTGAGAAGTAGAACAAATTATACCTCAATTCCCAGGTACGTAAGCCAAAATATTCTCCTTTTGTTTTAATTACCATGAGTTAGATCAGTCACTTGTAACCAAAGTCCTAACACTGTTATAGCCTTATAATAAATTGCCATAATTTTGCCTAAACCTGCTCAACTTGGCTTATAACTTGCAATCAGAAGTAGCCAAACAATGACCTCAAGTTAAACCGTCTACCTTCTGATTAACATACTATTTTTTTTTTTGAGGCAGAATGCCACTTTGTCACCCTTGGTAGAGTGCCATGGCATCATAGTTCACAGCAACCTCAAACACTTGGGCTCAAGCGATTCTCTTGCCTCAGCCTCCCAAATAGCTGGGACTACAAGTGCCTGCCACAATGCGCAGCTATTTTTTTTAGAAACGAGGTCTCACTCTGGTTCAGGCTGGTCTTGAACCTCTAAGCTCAGGCAATCCACCTGCCTCAGCCTCCCAGAGTGCTAGGATTATAGGTGTGAGCCACCACATCCAGCCAGATTAACATATTTTAAACCTGTTAATAACTTTCTATGACCCAAAGGTCACTCTTATTCTTTTCTTTTTTTACAGACAGAGTCTCACTCTGTGGCCCTCAGTCAAGTGCGGTGGCATCATAGCTCACAGCATCCTCCAGCTTTTGGACTTAGGCGATTCTCTTGCCTCAACCTCCTAAGCAGCTGGGATTACAGGCACCCAGCTATTTTTCTGTTGCAGTTTGGCTGGGGCTAGGTTTGAATCCACCACCCTCAGTATATGGGGCCAGTGCGGTACTCACTGAACCACAGGCACTGCCAAGTCATTCTTATTCTTTAAGACGTGAAATAAAATGCAGAAAAGTCAATTCATCAAAATTCTAAAAAGACTTACTAGAGCAAATAGCCCATTCTGGACTTGTTCTCCACAGAGCATACTATGGTGAGCGGATGTTGGCCAGGTGGCACAAAGTAACCCTTCCTCTTTTACATCTCAAATCTTTTTTTTTTTTTTTTTTTTGAGACGGAGCCTCAAGCTTTCCCCCTGGGTAGAGTGC